CAAAAAAAAACTTGCATTAAGACACACAACTATAGTGCTAACAGTACTGTATCAATCAACCAACCAATCAACAGTGCTAACAGTACTGTATCCACCAACCAATCAATCAACAGTGCTAACAGTACTGTATCAACAAACCAATCAATCAATGGTGCTGACAGTACTGTATCAACCAACCAATCAATCAATAGTGCTGACAGTACTGTATCAACCAACCAATCAATCAACAGTGCTGACAGTACTGTATCAACCAACCAATCAATCAATAGTGCTGACAGTACTGTATCAACCAATCAACAGTGCTGACAGTACTGTATCAACCAACCAATCAATCAACAGTGCTGACAGTACTGAATTAAGAAATACCTAGGACTGAAAGAGTTAAAAAGATAACAGAAACAATACCTAGCAGTGCAGAGAACACTTGACGTGTTAAAGCAAAAGTAATTCTATGTACTGCTGCTGTTAAACTCTGAAACAGTCTAGAAATTAAAAACTGTAAACTGGGCAACTTCAAAATCAGATTATCATATGATGCACACTGAACACTTTGAAGTCTATCATATCCAAAATGATACACATTGAAAATACTGATATTCTTTCTTGACAATACGGATTTCTCATATGTTTGTGAGTTATAATCTGAAATTTGTGGTGTTCAAACAAGCTAGCAATCTTTTTCACCTGCACACTCTTGGCGGATTTATTAATTTTTCTAAATAAGAAACCCCAAACCCAATTCCTTAAATGTCACATTTTACATGCAACCCAAAGTTCTTAGTAATTTCTGCATATCCACACTAGCAGTATCCATGTATGCAGACTTAGTGTTCAAGCATGTCACAGTTGCAGATCTAAGTAGAAAACAAGTGGTGGGGGGTGGGGGTGGGGGGCTAGATATCTATGCTGCCCTGACGTACAGGGTACTTTGAACCTCTTGGTGACGGGTGCACATGATCATGTTCATGGGACTCATAGTTGTCGTGCCGGCGGCTGCTGCTGCTCTGCCGATCATGATGGTGCTGGTGACTGCTAGAATCATGGTGGTGATGGCGGTGGCGGTCGCTGTCTGGAGACTGTACTCGTTCCAAGCTTCCTGATCGACTGATGAAGTAAAGATTTGTATCAGTTAGAAAGAGAAAAATATTTTAACAAGAAAAATTCAGATGAAAGATAAATTATTCAGATGGAAAAATCATAAGAAAATCATGTCTTTTTGAAAGGATGACAACAAGATATAGTGACAAACACACAGACAGATTGGGAGACACAGAGAAATAAATAAGTGAGAGACAGAAAAACAATGAAAGCAAATGTGGTTTGAATGACAAAGCAAGAAAGTATGTGCTTGTGTGTTTTGAATAAGAGAGAGAGAGAGAGTGAGAGAGAGAGAGAGTGAATCGGAGAGTGTTAGAGTCAGAGAGAAACTGACAGAGAGAGTACAAAAGAGAGAGTGCTAAATCGAAAGAGTGCTAGAGAGAGAGAGAGAGAACGACTGAGTGCTTATGAATTTTCAGTGAGAGCAACAGAAAGAGTTTTTCTGTTCTGGAAGAGACAAAGACAAAACAAACGCTCTAAATCTTAGTGTGTGCTAAAAGGCCAACAAAATGGGTTTGATGCCACCTGGCTCTCCATGGAATTCAAGTGAAATTTGACTAAAAGGCTTAATCAAATGGGGAAGCAGAAAAACATGTACAAAAAACACACAAATAATGTAACGTCTCGGCAGGGCAGCCTTTGTCAAACATGAAGTGAACTACACAAAAGTAACAACAAGGAGAGGAGAGTATACAGATCTCTAAGGGGTGACATGAGCAACGTTTAAAAAAATCAGATGTGGAATGAACAAAATAAAATAAACAATGACTAAAAACTACAATAGGAAAAAAAACAGTAATATTGTTAATATATAATATAATAGTGGGAATAAAAGAATGATACTGACAAGAGAAAGAATAAAGTAATAATATGAAATAAAAGAAAAGAAAATAATTAACATTTAAAATGTGATAAATGAAGGTATGTTGGATACTGATACCACCTGTACTAAGAACTTTTAGGCTATGGATGAGGCGAATTTTCCAAAGCGAGGCGCGTAGTATGATCGCTAGAGCACAATTTTAATGCTGTGACAGATATATCATCTTTACCTCTGTGATCAGAGCTGTTAAAGGGAGAGGGATTGGTTTAAGTGTCTTCTTGTCAATATCGGAGAGGTGTTCCTGAAAACGATCAGCTAGCTTCCTGCCAGTTTCCCCAATATATGCCTTGCCACATCGTTTGCAGATTTTTACATAAATTACGTTGCGGGAAGAAGAAGAGGAGGAGGAGGACATAGAAGAAGAAGCAGCAGAAGCAGAAGAAGAAGGAGGAGGAAGAGGAAGAGGAAGATGAAGAGGAGGAGGAGGAAGAAGAAGAAGGAGGAGGAGGAGGAGAAGGAGAAGGAGAAGAAGAAGAAGAAGAAGAAGAAGAAGAAGAGGAGGAGAAAAAGGAGGAGGAGGAGGAGGAGGAGGAGGAGAAGAAGAAGAAGAAGAAGAAGAAGAAGAAAGAAAGAAGAGGAAGAAGAAGAAGGAGGAGAAAAGAAGAAGAAGAAGAAGAAGAAGAAGAAGAAGAAGAAGAAGAAGAAGAAGAAGAAGAAGAAGAAGAAAATTAGCAAGTGAAAGAATCCCTAATTTGGAAAGAACCATTAGGGAAACTGACCAAAGAAGTCTGGACAACGAAAGGACATGTCTTGCACGTGCTGCAGGTGCATTCAGTAGTCCCAAAAGGAAGTGCTGTGTGGATCGGTGGAAGTCGGCTTCTGACAAGTATGTCTTTAAGGTTGCGGTCTCGTCTATAAACCAATCTTGGCTTCTCACTAAAGATAATCTTGGTGTCCAGATCAGAGCGGAGGGTGTCGAAATGACGAAATAATACTTTAGAAGCAACCATATTGTTAGGGTGAAAAGTCAAAATCAACTTGGGTCCATCGCTGGTGGAATTAAGTTTAGTGGGGAAAGCATCTCTCCTGGTGATTAAAACTTTGTTCAGAGCCTCTTGTAGAATGTGTTCCGGATAGAAACGAGCACGGAAGAAATCAAGAAGTTCAACTACTCTATGTAGTAGCTCACAGACTGCTGAGAGCCACATAAAGAACAAACTCCAATTGCAATGATTCCTAGGAATCCCCTAGACAGCTGCACTTGTGAACCAAATGACACTGAAAATGAATGCATCTCTTTCACAGCACAATGCAGAGAATGTTGTGGTGTGGAGAATAAGAGATAATTAGCATCCCAAGCACATTTAATTTCATCAGAGGAAGATAGACACTTTATTTTCAAAGAGCCACAAATTGGGGATACAGGCCCATCTTACAATCAGCACTTTCAATCACACACCTTTCACACAGCAACTGTATCATCATCATCATCAAGTGCCCTGCCAGCTGGCGCAGGCATTCCTGCATCTCCACAAATCTGGGTCTCTGGTTTCAATTCCACTGATGATATTCCTCCATGCCACTGTCTTGAGCCATCCACCATCATTTCTCTTGGACTGCCTCTGCGTATGTTACCAGTGATCTTTCCAGTGGTCACAATATTCTCCAGTGCAGCAAGTGTATATCAATTATACATCAAGGCATACATGAGGGTATCTGCAGACCTTAACCACCTACTGCACCAAGCTACGGATGACACAAAAGGAACACATCTAAAAAGAGGCCGTTCTCAGATGGCAGAGGCTGAAAATGTCATGGTCGAAAGGGATACAGCGTTGCATCACCACATGTAGAGGTACAGACAGACCAGGGTTCACACTGGTCAACACCTGCCTACACTTCTACAGGGCTATCCTAGAAAATAGGATAGGTGAAGAAGGTGAAGAGGTGAAGAAATGACAGTCTACACAAAATAAGGCAATTAGATGTGCATTCAACACCCAAGTCCTGGAATAAAATCAATTGGGACTTTACTGCTGGAGTTCACAGCTAGTGAATGCAGAAGAAACGAAGAATATTCTTTGCAATCTTCCCTTGTCAACTGAGACGAGAAAGATAATTCTCAAGAGCTATATAAATCCTATCCTGATATAGGGATGTTAATCATGGACAGTTGGAAGATTAGTAAAAGGATTATTTGGCAGCAGTGAAGAAGTGGTTTTATAAACAAATGATGAGAATAACCTAGACAGGTAAAAAGAGTAATGACGATGTCCTGAAAGAAACTGACTCACAAAGAGAACTGATTGCCCACATCAGATAGAGGCAATCAACATTCTTTGGTCATGTGATAAGAAGGAGAAAACTGGAGTACATGGTGACAGCGGGAAAGATGGAGGGGGAAAGAGGCAGAGGGAGACAGAGAGAAAAGATGCTGGACAGTTTGACATCATGGCTTGGGAGATCATGCCACACTGCATGGAATATAAGCAGAAGAAGAATACAGTGGAACATGTATGGACTTATCAGAATTTCTGAAGATATCTGTTACTCTAATCATGTATAAAATAACAAGCTCTGTAGATGACATACACATAGTATGTATAATATAAGCCAGCACTGTTATAAAACCACACAGGAGGGACAGCGATATAAGTGGGCAGATTTCAAGAGATGACTGAAGGGCAGTCTCAGAGAGCATACAGCCAAGATGGCAGCCAACCTTCCATATGGAGACAGCATCTGATTAACTGATGTTATGTGCTGTTGATCTGATTAAATGATGTTATGTGCTGTTGATCTGATTAAATGATGTTATGTGCTGTTGATCTGATTAACTGATGTTATGTGCTGTTGATCTGATTAAATGATGTTATGTGCTGTTGATCTGATTAACTGATGTTATGTGCTGTTGATCTGATTAAATGATGTTATGTGCTGTTGATCTGATTAACTGATGTTATGTGCTGTTGATGACAGATGTTTTTTGTCCAGCTTTGTATGTATTGCAGTAACACCTGCCGTCAACTTGATTTTTCTGATCAGACACACGGGTCAACATTTACATCTGCAAAATGACCTGTGTGAAAAGTGACTGGCAGGTAAGGTGTTGTGCCGAGACAGCGGCACCGACGACGATGACCCCGATGGAGCTCTGTTGGGACTGAGGGTGGTCGGAGGACTCATGTTAGGTGGGTGTGTTGCTCTCCAGTAAGCCTCCAGGAACTCTGCCAGGTGTTCACAAGCATCCTCAAGCTGGTTCTCGTCCAGGATCACATCAAACAATTCCTACGGAAGAACCGAACAAGAAATACATTCACTTCAACTGATCCCAAGATCAACTAAATTACTTCAAGTCACAAACCAAGAAACTCTAGACAGTATGATAACTAAGAGAAGATGGAAATGGCTTGGCCACGTTATGAGAATGAATCCTGATCTACCTGCCAAAACAGCTCTCACATGGATACCAGAGGGAAAGAGAAAACAGGGGGCGCCCAAAAACAACATGGAGATGATTGACGGAAAGTGACCTGAGTGCGGCATCTTTGACATGGAAAACTGCACTGAAGATTGCACAGGACAGGAAAGCATTGAAAGTCCTCTCTGAAGCCTCATGTGCCACTAGGCATAACCAGAACTGATGATGATCCCAAAATGTTCAGTGTTAACCCCCCCCCCCCCCCCCTTCGGAACAAGCAGCATATTGTGTGGGGCTGGATAAAAAATTCAGGGATGACAGCTCGCAAGCTAAATATGATGAATGACTGAACGAAAAGCACAGATAATACACCCTAGTTGTAAACTGCAACACAATATGAAAATCAGTTTTAAAGGGTAATGCAGAAGGAGTTCAAAACAAAATGCTTTTTTGTTGTTCTTGTCTGTAGTGCATTTGGTAAATCAGAAAAAGGCTTAATTATTTTGCTCAGGAATACTGAAAAAAGAGTCATGGCTCCATTAAAATTCCAGAAAAGTATCCTTAGAAAGCAAAAACAATTTTAAACAGGTCACTAATGAATTGGTTTGAAATATATTAAGCTACATTATTAAAAAAAACATATATATAAAGACACATGTACTGAGTAATCAATCAACATGAACGGGATAAAGCATTAAATGGAGTACATTCCCCCTGGCCTAAAAACATCTGGATCAGGTGACTCATGCCACAGCCTATATCACTGGGGCATACGAGAAAATCTGATGTCAACTTGGCTTTATAAAGCTATCTGACTAAAAAAAAAAAAATCACTTCAATGCAATTTATTAGTTAATGTATTCTATCTTGACCTCCTAAAAGTTTATGCAAGCGCGAAAACAACCAGTTGCATTAACTATGCACTATATACGGGTAACTACAGACAAGTCAGAAAAGTGGCATTTATGGGTTACTGGACCCAACCAGAACTGTCAGGGTAAAAGGATTAACATTAAAAAAAGAAAAAGAATCAGCCATATAGATTAGGCATTCAAGGAAAGATGTGAAGAACACGGCAGGAGACAGCAAGAGATAGGAGGGCTTAGTGCAAGATGCCTAAGGGCTAGTGCTTCAGTTGCAGATAAAAGATAGAAGACCACAAAGCAAATTGTGCAACCTTATGCATGATAAGCCCTTGACCGCCTTGTGCCATGCCCAGTGTAGGATGTGAGTCCTTTAAATGAAGTCAGCGGCATGTTTTTGAATTTAATTATAGATCAAGTTCATGCCCAGTCTAGAACAGCATTCAAAATAAACAACAGATCAGCACATAAGTGACATACCGGAGGACACTGTGACAACTTGTCTGCAGCAACCAGCTGTACGTTCATGTTCCGGGACTGAGACTTGCCCCGGGATTTTATCAATCTCTGTAATACCTGTGGTAAAAATCATACCAGATTATTTCCATGACCAACTACTGATCCCTGCATCCCATAAATTTATTTGTCTTCTACTGTATACCAGAGAGTAAATGTTGACAATAATATAAAAAAAAAAAAAAAACACTAGTCAAATGGACAAACCAGACAAACTTTCAACATTTTACAGGTAACAAGAATGAATCTTCAAGTATTTATTCCCTTCCAAACAAAGAAATGTTTTCTACTTCACAGACTTTCTTAATTTGAACACTATCATCCTTGGAGGTCTCTGTGGCAAAGTGGTCAAGCAGTTTCCCTCCTGCTCTGAAGGTCATAGATTTGTTTCATGGACTCATCATTCAGTTCACAATGCAATTTATAGTGAGATCCCTGCAGCCAGGGAGTTCATGTTTTCATTAACTCTCAGCATGGGGGCTAGCCCTTCTATGGAGAGAGATCAAGCCCTATAGGATAACCTGGGGCAATGAAGCTGATCAACTCTTCCAGCCTCAGGGAGTTTTTAATTCAGCAGTGCCTATGCTATAGATTTTCTATTTCAGAGCAACAACCTTTTTCTAAGTCTCATAGAAATGAAAAATGCAACTGTGGAACAGAAGTCATTGAAACACAAGAGGTTAAACATAACAGAAGAATAGGACAGGAACAAATTAAGAAATGTGTACTAAGTATAGAGTAACCAATGAATTATTTAGCTTATTAGTACTGAAAGAGTTAACTTTATACTATCATCTATTTGTGATTGCACCTTGGATTATCTCATCAGGTGATTTCAAATGAGGAATTAATTCTTCAGAATTCCCTTTTATTTAGTTCCATACAGCTGGCATCCCCTAACCACCTAGTCATTTTCTCACTGAACATCTCTAGAAACTACCACAAATGACATGAAATACATTAATATGTCAGCACAAAATTATGGTATCAAAAAGTTAAGCCTGCCTCCCCGTGCGGGTTCCAGTACCCCATTTTAGGGGAGTAAAAGAATAAACTCACCCCCCACTAACAAGCATACTGTCAAAGAATAAACTCACTCCCCTACTAACAAGCATGCTGTCAAAGAATAAACCCACTCCCCCACTAACAAGCATGCGTCCACGAATAAAAACCCACTCCCCCACTAACAAGCAAGCATGCATGCTGTCAAAGAATAAAACTCACTCCCCCCACTAACAAGCATGCTGTCAAAGAATAAACTCACTCCCCCACTAATAAGCATGCTGTCAAAGAATAAACTCACCCCCCACTAACAAGCATGCTGTCAAAGAATAAACTCACTCCCCCACTAACAAGCATGCTGTCAAAGAATAAACTCACTCCCCCACTAACAAGCATGCTGTCAAAGAATAAACTCACTCCCCCCACTAACAAGCATCCCCACACTAACAAGCTGTGTCAAAGAATAAACTCACTCCCCCACTAACAAGCATGCTGTCAAAGAATAAACTCACTCCCCCACTAACAAGCATGCTGTCAAAGAATAAACTCACTCCCCCACTAACAAGCATGCTGTCAAAGAATAAACTCACTCCCCACTAACAAGCATGCTGTCAAAGAATAAACTCACTCCCCCACTAACAAGCATGCTGTCAAAGAATAAACTCACTCCCCCACTAACAAGCATGCTGTCAAAGAATAAACTCACTCCCCCACTAACAAGCATGCTGTCAAAGAATAAACTCACTCCCCCACTAACAAGCATGCTGTCAAAGAATAAACTCACTCCCCCACTAACAAGCATGCTGTCAAAGAATAAACTCACTCCCCCACTAACAAGCATGGTGTAAAAGAATAAACTCACTCCCCCACTAACAAGCATGCTGTCAAAGAATAAACTCACTCCCCCACTAACAAGCATGCTGTCAAAGAATAAACTCACTCCCCCACTAACAAGCATGCTGTCAAAGAATAAACTCACTCCCCCACTAACAAGCATGCTGTCAAAGAATAAACTCAGTCCCCCACTAACAACAAATCAAAGAATAAACTCACTCCCCCACTAACAAGCATCAAAGAATAAACTCAGTCCCCCACACGAACAACAAGTCAAAGAATAAACTCACTCCCCAACTCACTCTCCCCCACTAACAAGCATGCTGTCAAAGAATAAACTGTCAAAGAATAAACTCTCCCCCACTAACAAGCATGCTGTCAAAGAATAAACTCACTCCCCCACTAACAAGCATGCTGTCAAGAATAAACTCACTCCCCACTAACAACAAGCATGCTGTCAAAGAATAAAATCCCACTAACAAGCATGCTGTCAAAGAATAAACACTCCCCCACTAACAAGCATGCTGTCAAAGAATAAACTCACTCCCCACACTAACAAGCATGCTGTCAAAGAATAAACTCACTCCCCCCACTAACAAGCATGCTGTCAAAGAATAAACTCACTCCCCCACTAACAAGCCTGTCAAAGAATAAAACCACTCCCCCACTAACAAGCATGCTGTCAAAGAATAAACTCACTCCCCCACTAACAAGCATGCTGTCAAAGAATAAACTCACTCCCCCACTAACAACAAGCATGCTGTCAAAGAATAAACTCACTCCCCCACTAACAAGCATGCTGTCAAAGAATAAACTCACTCCCCCACTAACAAGCATGCTGTCAAAGAATAAACTCACTCCCCCACTAACAAGCGTCAAAGAATAAACTCACTCCCCCACTAACAAGCATGCTGTCAAAGAATAAACTCACTCCCCCACTAACAAGCATGCTGTCAAAGAATAAACTCACTCCCCCACTAACAAGCATGCTGTCAAAGAATAAACTCACTCCCCCACTAACAGCATTGTCAAAGAATAAACTCACTCCCCCACTAACAAGCAT